AAATGTGTCAAGTGCTCCTGTACCACGATCTACAATCCCAAAACAAAATGTGTCCTTCTATCTCATGGCTTTCAGTCAGTGACACCTTACCAACGTCCGCCTAAGCCTGGGACATCTTTAGTAGTATTGGGAGATGTCAGTACCAATTCCAAAGACTAAACATAGTGAATTGCATGAAATGCCAAAAGGGTTAATGGCTTTAACAAGTCCATTAAGAGCGAAAGAAAAAAGCTTCATTTTGTAAATATTTTGTAAATTTATATCATTTTATGGATATATTTTTAGGTTAATATAAATAATATTTATGCTTAGAACGTATTAAACTCTTTAATTATATACTACACTCATACATGAGTTCAAAACGCTTAATTTGAGACTTAAATAATGCCTTTCGGACTATTACTTCAAAAGATACAGCAAAAAAATCTAAATTTCCAAGATGGCGGCAGTTTTTTCAAGATGGCGGCCGTTCCCCAACTGGGATTTCTTGGGACTTTGTGTGGGCCCCTCAGGACATTGTTCTGAACGTTTCCACCAATTTTCAGCCTGTTATCAATTTTGTCCGGGTCAATGTCATTTTTTGTCTAATTGCACTGGACTATTTATGTTTCATTAGTCTTTGTATATTTTCTAAGATGCCTCAAAGAGATCTCGCACGCTATGTAAATAATCGGGCTCGCAATGCAATTATTAGGGATATGATGAGACATAAATGTTTTCACCCTTATCAACTATATATCAAAGGGTGAGGTTCATAATCCCAAGTTTAAATAAAACTTCATGTTGTTAGCCTCCGGATCACTGGTAAAGTAATAAATAATGGTTTAAATACCTTATACTGTCAAAAGTGATCCTTGTAGTCTGTGTAGGCTACTGCAGTTTCATTCCCGGGGGGAACTTCATCAGGCTTAATGACATCAAAACTTCATTCCATAGTCAAATAAATTAGGCAATATCATTAAGAAAAATGCAACTCCCAAAACTGATGAAAATAACATGAACGGCACGGGTATTTACAAACTAAACTGTAACGATTGTCCTAGTTATTACATCGGCCAAACAGCTAGATCATTCAACAGCAGATTCAAAGAACATTTACCAGGCAAACCCACTACTAATCATACATCCTCGTACGCCAATCACTTAATTAATAATAGACATAATTACTCAAAAATTGACGACAACCTCGAAATTCTGCATAAATGTAAAAGCGGCCGTTTCATGGACACAATGGAAGAGTACGAGATTTATAAGGCTGTGAAAAAAGAACCACACAATGTCCTAAATGAACAAAGAGGTTTCAAGTCTAATATTATTTATGAATGGGCAATAAGAATAGGTGAGTCACAAACAAAACATTGGTCAACTCGTGATAAGCAAGTAGGAGGGGGAGGAAATACACTTGGAGATCAAGATAACGCATCAGTCTAGACCTGCCCTCCGTGCGTAACGTGCTTCCCGGTACCGTGTTTCGTAATGTTTATGTGTTATGTTCGTGTGTTCGTCCGTGTTTTATGTATATATGACCTTGATGGATTTTTACCATGACGACTTCCTATGGAATGAAGTTTTGATGTCATTAAGCCTGATGAAGTTCCCCCGGGAATGAAACTGCAGTAGCCTACACAGACTACAAGGATCACTTTTGACAGTATAAGGTATTTAAACCATTATTTATTACTTTAAATAAAACCAAGTACTTTAAAATGCAAAATTTCATAACCCCAAGAATGAAGATTAACAAGTAAAGGGATACAAATTAATACCAAGAAGCCTTTATAACACCAAGGTTCATAACCCCAAGTGTTTGTAACACCAAGGTTCATAACCCCAAGGTTAAATAAAACAAAGTTCTTTAAATTACAAAATTTCATAACCCCAAATATACAGATTAGCAAGGTTCACAAGCCCAAGTTTCATAACCCCATGCTTTTTTAAACCCGAATTTCATAACCCCAAGTGACAATGGGTACAGTCCGTGCAGTAAACGATAACACACGCACGCACACATACATACTTGCATTATAAACTTGTGCTGGAAGCGAGGTTCCGATGTTCGCGAAACTATTCGAAGTGATGCGTTCCCTATAGCGATAGGTGAAGTCACATGTTTGTCTAAATTGTAATAACAATATTTACAGGATGAAATTTATATATTTAAATTCTTTGTGAACTGATGTTTAATTCGGTATACATACAATTTAGTTTGTGCCGATGCAAAATCTATATCTATAAAAGAGGAACTATGTTGTGCTAGTTGTATGTACCTTGTGGACTCCGAAACCACAAGGCAGATTGTAATAAAACTTTCAGGCATTATTAAGCATTATTCAAAAAAAGTTTGTTTGAAGTTTGATGCAGATTAATCAAAAGGGCTCCGTCCCAGAGGCTTTTAAGGGTCCAATGTCACACTTTTGGAACTACAATGTTTACAAATAAACATAATTTAAAAAGCAGATGTTTACTTTCACCATGTTTTGTAGGTTTGAATAATTACAACATTCTGTATTAGTCATGATTTGAAATAGTGCCACACTGTTTCTACAGAATACAGCACAGAAAATTATTTTACTTTTGGATAAGTCTAAATACATTAAGCCCCAATCGAACACACCTGTGCACTCAACAACATTTATTCTCCACTATTAAATATGTAAACATAAAACGGTATTTGGTTTACATTTTTATTATTTATCGTACAGAACAAATTACCATTAAAATAATAGTTGTTAAGCGCAGCAACGCGCGCCAGGTAACTGCTAGTTTTTAATAAAGGAAAATATGAAAAGGTTGCTCTATGTGAACATGAAGAAGTATGTGAGCGATGATTTGTTAACACCTCCTCCTCTATTTACTGTGCTGCGGCACTCTACGAAGAATCAGCTGATCAACATGTCCTCTTATTATTCGTCCATCTTCCAGCTGAACTACGTACATTACATGTCCTTGCTTTTTAGTTATTTAGCAAAATTTGTTGGCCAGATAAATACTTTCAGTAAGAAAAGCGTAGATGATTAGATGTTCTTCAATTTTTGTTCCAACAATTTTTTCGTAAGACTTTTAGTCTGTCCAATAATTGACTTAATGACCCCCATGAGGTCTGGATGAATTAGTTTAGGCGCTCAGTATTTTTGCAATTGCCGTCTTCCAACCACAATATTACGGAAATATAGTATTAGTTCACGTTTTAAAATCGCTAAACGATGAAAACTGTTTAGAATTAATATGACTGCTTCAACTATGTACAAAGTTTTGACATATGTGTACATAATATTCGTGGTGCATAACCCAAGTAAGTCTTTGTGCCTGTTATGTCTATGACAGATTTAAATGCACCGCTTCAAAAGTAATTGGCATAGATAAGACAATTATTGAGCGTTAGAGCGTTTTGGGATGGGACTGGAACAGGGGTTTATGAAACGGGTTTTTTTGCTATGCAACAATATATCGTTGTTTACTAAAATCTTATTCTAAAGGATACAGAGAGGAAGTAGCTAAAAACTACTTATTTGTAAATAGTAGCAAAACGGCCGTTGGTGACCTGCTTCTTTATAGGATACACTAACAACCACTTAGCTTAAAGATTCACCCAATCCGATGATGTGAGGGTATGTCTAAATCTAGGATTATGAATACCTATGCCCCAGTGGTTGCAACGAATTGCCACACAGGACGGGATTCAAACCCAAGCAGACAAAATACCACTGGCCAAGTGACACACTTCCTAGCCACCTCAGCTGTCTGTGCTTGGAGACTATGGAGTAAAAACCGCTAAGCTGACGTCAACAATTGCTAATAGAGGCCGCTATCAAACAACAAGTTGTTCAATGCGTTACTAGGCAGCAGCAATAGTTAGTCATGGACTGTTTATATAATGTAGATGTTTTAGTTGAACCGCAACAGTTTGTTTTATTTTGTTTTTTTTTATTTTTAGGGAGAGGAGGGAAATTGCTTTTACGAACACAGGTAGCCAGCCTGTAGTGTGAGACTCCTGAATTTATCAGACTACTCACTAAAAAACCCCCTTCACTCTGTTTGACACAGACCTGGAATTGTTTGACTGTTTGCGTTATCATCATCGGTATGACTGTGTCTACCTCATAAAGAGTTGCAACAAAACCCATAAACCCCCGTTCCCATAGTCCAAACAGGCTGCTTCGGGAACTCGTTTGAATAAAAGTAGATATACACGTTTGTACCAAATTTCATCAAAATCAGATCATCCTTGCTCAAGTTATCGCGCTTATGGACACACACACACATATACAGAGTGATCAATTCAAGGAGGCCACCATTAGGATATCGGAAACTGTAAAAATTTGAGAAAACTGTAAATGGGGGACATTTATCAATCTTTTGTTACAGTTAAAAATATGAATTTAGTTTTTCAAAATTCAGCCACCATTTTTCAATATGGCGGCCAACTTTGAAATTTCTCATGAAACACCCTATATTTTATCATGTTTTTGGATAGAACATGCAATTTAAAAACTTTTTTATTCTTGACATTTTTCCATAAACCCACTCGTTTAGGAGTGCCACAACCCTATAGGTTATAGGTTTTTCATGCCTATGAAAAAATGACTTGAGGTTTATATTTAACATCAAGTAGCCCCTAACGAGTAAGTTTAGAGCAAAAATGCGAAGAGTAAATAATCCTTTTAACTGCATCTACATTCCAAAAAGACCATAAAATACACAGTTTACCACTTTTTAAGTTTGCTGTAGTTTTGGAAAATAGCCAAATAAAAGAATAATAATAAAATAGAATCAATATTTTTTACGTATTTTATAGTCTTTTTGTACGTTTTGCAACAGGGCTAACGGCTAACTGTATGGCAGCGGTACAACATCTTTTTATTCTTTTTTCCATGCCTTAAACACTTCCTTCATATTTAGTAGTCCAAGGAGCAAAAAATATTTTTTAACAGTTTAGATTACAGTTACTGGATTGTTTCTAGAGATGTAAAGAAACCCACTATAATTGCTCATACACACAGATCCATGCATCCCGATGTACTTCTACGTAGCAGAGGAGGCTGTGGAGGGGGAGAGGGCGGAGGCTGGTAGTCAGCTTAGATGTAATAGTCCTGAGGGCTCTGGAGGTGACGAACCACTGTATCTGTGGAACCAGGCTATGTTTGTCATCTCTCAGCTGCTAACCACTGGACTGCTGCATATCAATGAGCTGGACCCCATCAGACGATATCTGCCCTCTTACAACCGACCTCGCAAGGGTGGCCGCTACTCTGCATTCCAGGTACAACGGTTCTTACCCTTAAAATACTGAATCTTTAATCCTTCCAAAAGAGACCAATCAAAAACTAGTGTTGCAAAATTTTAATTCTCAATCAAATGTAACCTTGTGCTTTTAATAAGTATTTTACAAAGTTAAAATAAAAGGGCCAGGTAAATACCCGGAGGGAAGGTAAATATAAATTGGGTATTCACCCTATGGTCATTTAAATACCCAAAATGAGGGTATTTTTAGTTTTTGAGCGTTAAACAACACCTTTTGATGTTTTGATGAAGTTTTAGGCAAATAAGGGATGAAACACAATAATTTGATTTCTCAAAATTAATACCCCAACCCAACCATAATTATTCTTCAAATGTAAAAATTATATTCTTGGGTATTTATAAATGTTTGCATTGGTATTGCCTTCTATGGTAATTGAAGCGTTTTTCAATGCTAGCCTCTTCTTCAACAACTAATATAAAATGTTAAAGAAAAAACATATTATTTACATTTATCCTGAAATATTGTGCAAGGTTTTCAAATAGTGTAAGTGTATAGTACGTTTGTACCTGTACTGTACGTAAATAGCAAAATTATAAAATTCAATTTAAATATAACATTGAATTTTTTTATGAGATTATTTATGAATTTTATAAAATTAAAAAGGTTAACTTACCCAAACAAAAGCATTGTTTTAATTATTGGGAAATAGCAATAAAAATAAGAGTGGGGTGGTTGCTTGCTTGTTGAGATGTAATAGTGGGTTTAATAATTATTATTTAATATTTAATGTATGTGAGTCAGTAGCCTAAGTGAATTTAATTTTTAACCACAATAGTTTGTCTAAGAAGGCTTACAATTATTTTCAGACAGAATACTGTCAACACTATGGTACTGCATCTGCAATAACTTACTGCAATTAATTTTTTAGTGTACCGTAATGGGTATTTCTGACTGCTCAACAATTTATTTTCTCTATTTTATTACAACCATTCAACCATTAGCTAGAACAAAATCAAATATGTGTTACACCCTGTCTTATCTTATCTAACAGGGGCAGGTCGAGACCTTAAAGCACTTCATCCGAAATCGAATTATTGCGCACCCCTGTACATTACCTACCCTATTTTAATTGCAGAACCTCGAGCTAAATCAACAACCATTGAAGAATTTTTTCTACTTTTATCTTAATTAATTTTAGGGGTGTGCGAATAGTGATTTTCAACCTCCAGCCGAGCCGAGCCGAGCTTTTTAAAAAATTTTCGAGCTCGAGCTTTTTCGAGCCGAGCTTTTCCTAGCGTCACCTTATCTAAGTTATTAAACTTTTTTTTCTTAAAAAAGTGCATAATAATAATAATGTTCTGTCAATTTTTAAATAAACACAATGTTATTTTAATATGTTTAAAAACGTTGAGAATTGTCAAGACATCAAATAGTAGATAATCACGATAAGAACTGAACTGAACTAAATTAAGATGCAAGAAATAAAAGGATATCGATTGAAGGCCTGACGAGATATGCAGTGCAGACTGAGACAATCAGATTGTCTTTCATAACAGTAACGTTCTGTTATTTAATGGCAAATAAATATTCTTGATTCTTCTTGATTCTTGAACAGAACAGCATCGCGACATTGAATGACGACAAAACAACTAGCAACTCGATTACATAATGTATATTGTAACTACTATGAATATTTAATTCTATTTTGTATAAATAAATACAAAATAAATTTTAAAACACGTGATTATTCTTTTTGTTTTCCATGCACAAAATATTTTTGTTTTATGAATCGTATTAATCAAAAAAAGAACATGGTTGGTTTGGATCCAAAAAGGTGGAGAGACAAGTAAAAAGTAAACTTATATATTAAAAAAGATATAATTGACATAGAGGAAATAGACCAAAACACTAAAATTAATAGAATAACACACAAAGTAAACAAGAAATGAAATAAAGTACACGATGATTTAATACTGTCACTCAATTTTGTTATCTAGAAGGGTCAGGGAACTAATCAATAAATAGCCAAAACCAGTTTCCTCCCCTTCACACAGTCTCACCGCCCCCCTCCCCCCCTAAGCCGGGAGGCCCAACACTGTACTTTGTCCTTGAAACACCCTTGCATCTAAAACAATAAACCCTTACACCCGTGTTGCTGTTTTGACAACAGGTTTATGAATGCGATCACTATTTTTAATTTTCCAGAATTAACTATTTCTATTAATTAACGACTTTATAACTGTGTAAAAGGTGTGTATCCCTGAATTTATAAATTGCATTCTACACTTATTCACTGCCAAACATTATTCAGTAGAACCTTGATGAACTGAGAATTACACTAGCCTACATAACTTCATTACCCCAAGTATAATACCAAGATAATTTTTATAATTCTATTTGAATCGTATAATCTTAGTTTGTTAAAAATGGATTGTATGTTTAACAATAATTGCAGTCCATTATTGTTAAGCAGTATGGTCCCAAATTATTGTTTTTGATTTTGAAACATCACAGTTCATTTGACAAAATTATAGTTGAAGCAGCCAAATGTCAAGTCGCTTGTGCAATAGTTTGTTTACAAGCTTTCTCCAGACCACGGGGGAGGGGAGGGTCTGATAAGCCGTCTATTGTTCACCCCCAAGAAGGTCCGACCCTCATTAGTGCCGCTCGGCTGCACTCAGTGGGGAACCCAATACCACAAATCAATCTTTTAAATTAATACAAATATTTGGTAATAATTGTTTTATTAATATTCACCTTGAAATTTCAATAAATTTGGTGTAAAATTTGACAAAAATCGGCCATTTTGACCGATTATTAATACAGTACCAAATACCAATAAAGTAGTACATTCATTGGTAATTAAATAATAGGTAAAAATTAACCGATTTTCGTCAAGTTTTACCCCCCTGCTGTGCGTTATGTCACAAAAGCTGATAACGACATGGGTGATTAGTAACCATGGCAACTTGTTGAATGCGTGATGAAGGGAAACCCAAGAAATAGAAGAACAAAGAGAAAGAATAACGTGTTATCTTTATACCTTTTTTACAATTTCCGTTATTGTTATCTGTATGCAAGATTTTATGATTTTGTTTTATAGATTTATAAAATAATTCTTTTTAACTACGGGAATATCAATTTATAATTTATCAACGTGCTTCTCTTCCGAAACAGCAATACCGGATGCATAATAAAGGTCGATGACCTAAAATATCACGATTGTGCAATATTGTATTTTGATGTTGAAATTAAAATCACGACAAAAGTTTGTATATATCCATGGTCCCTATAGTTTAATCATTTAATATGTACACAATCAATGCTAAATAATCGTGGTTAGTTCTAACTTTATTTTTTATTATTCAAAGTTTCTACACAGTAAGACAATCCAAAGTCAACCCGGGCAATGAATACCTAAAACACAACGTATCTTGTCCTGTGATTGGAATACCACTCGCCGGCCAGTCCTTTAGGTTTAGGGAAGTAGTGCAAGTCTATATATAGCTTCAAGGTCTTACCCACCCCTTCCCCCTCCGGTCCTACTTGACTCACTATACCCGCGCTCCTTTCAATTTCAAGGTCATTGCCCAACCCCTCCCACCCTTCTATTGTGTTGCCTTTCTATTGTTTCTATTCTGACTTTTTTTTGGGAAACATTAAATCTATTGTTTACGTAACTTCACAGTAGTAGGCTAGATTTTTCTACTTTGAATTTGAAACAGTACTGTAAAAAAACTATTACGCAGCGCCCCTAGTATCAGGAGGGAGACAAGCACGAGTTGACTTTCATTTGACCATTGTAGTTCTTTTCTGCTTTATGTCTGTTCGTTCCAGACGAATCTAATCGTAAAGCAAAACAGCCGATAACGACTAAACTAGTTATCAGTATTGCATCATACAAGGCTTCTTTGCCGTTTGCTGTTAGGTCGTTGGAAACGTATTGCTGTAATTTTGTCCTGGGAAACTAATGGTGGCTATGGAGATTTAGTTTTTTGTCCAAAACGTCAAAATATATTGTCTATCCGAAAAGCCGGATATATAACGGATAGTGTCGGATATCGAATTTGGGCCCGGTTACCCGATTTTTCAGATATCCGCACACCCCTACTTTTAAACAAAATAAAATAGGTACAAAATTGTGTGACCAGTCAAACTTTATAAACAAACATTTTATTCTATAAAATATAGATGGTAAATAGGGGTTGGTTTAAAGGGAATAAAATACAAAACAGATTAATTAATTATTTTGATAAACATTAGAAAGGTTATGGGTTTGATTGAACTAAAATAACCGCAGGGAATCTTATAAGTAGAAAAGTCGTCAACCACAATCTGTTTAATCAGTACACTGTTAGAGAGAGAGAGAGAGAGATAGAGAGAGAGAGAGAGAAAGAGAGATAGCAGATAGGGGCGTTTGATAAGGAATCTGAAAATGTAAACAAACAAGGAACAACGGCATGACGATACTCGTTTACAGCCTTATTGTGTCGCCCACTACATTTGCACACGTGACCACTTTTAGTTTCTTCCTTATCTTCCATCGGTCCCAAAATAGAATTCCTGAAATAGTTTGTTGGTATAATCTCCCCTCCCACACAAGGCGCAGTGCTCAGTGCGCACTGTAGGTTGCCACGGCAACCATGTGTCGTCATAGCGACGAGCCAATCACGCACTCACACTGCGTTGTGTATTACGATACGAATAGCTGTGTTAGAAAGACAACGCGATAGGATAGGTGGTAGATTGTCTCTTTACTACTGTATCTCCTCAAAATTACGATCGATAATCATTGCGTCTTGACTGAGCTGAGGTTCGTGTTCGTGCTTATCAAACCTCGAATGCATGAACAACGTAGAATTGTGATAACATTGTTTTCAATTACGACCCAAATTAAGTGTTTTTTTAGTTTTGACTTAGTATTAAAAGCTCGGCTCGAACTTCGAGCTTTTTCAAAATGCCTCGAGCCGAGCCGAATAATGAAAAGCTCGACCAAAAAGCTCGAAGATTCGAGTACTCGCACACCCCTAATTAATTTATATAGTTTACTTAAAATTCGAATTCACATATTCAGATGTTCTGAATGTTTCAAGTAAGAACTACTTGATTTTACTCATTTTCTGTTTATCTAAGCAGGAAAGACCAATTTCTTGTCAATTTTAATAGCCTTCTCAGATCTGAAAAGCAAGTTTACGTATGTTTTAAAAGGTTTAAATAACCCTGTGATGTAATTTTAGTGTAAATTTGAAAATACCTGGGTATTTATGAATATTGTGTATTTACTCCGATTTTTAAATACCTGGTTATTTTACATCACTGCCCGTAGTAGGTAAGTAAAATAAATTGAGGGATAGGTTTAATGGGTAAAAATGAGGGGTGGGTCGGCTCTTAATGTTGGTGGTCCAAAATCGAGAATTGATATAAAAAACATCGGTTTCGATATCGGTTGCTGTGCTATAACTTTTCTGTGATTGTGATAATTGGGTAGGTCTAGAAGCACAGAAAAGGTTTGTCATTTGTTTGTTTGTTGTTTGTTGTCCTAGGGCATTGATGCAATTGCGATCTCACAAATATTTTGTCATGACAATAATAATTTTGTCAGTTTTTACAAGTACTCAAAGCGAAGTTCCAAGTAGTCTTGTTAATATGAATTAAGTAATTGAGCTCATCAAAGTTTTTTTTCACTATGTGATAGTTGTCACTTTATTTGGCTTCCTATGTTAATTGCTCGGGTGATAATGCAATCTCATACCCATTTAACATTTTATGATAGTATAACGTGCCGTTTTTCCCACTCGAAATATATACTCTATTCTGTAGTTATAGCGGGAAAGTCGTCACCAACTCTCGCCAGCGGATCGCTCAAGTCGGCGTGCTGGGAAGTTTCCAGGGTTCGTAAATTATCAATTAAATAACCTATCACCGGTACAGATTTGTATGCTCAAATGTGTAGTGTGAATCAGGTGTGAACTCAGTACCAGTAACCAACAACGCTAATGTACCATCATCATCGTTCACACCTGGGAATACCTAATTAAATTAAATTTAAAAATAATGAAAAAAACGTTCAACGAAATTTTGTTGCAGTTTCGTCATTTCGTCAACCTTAACACTTAATTTCTTAGCTGAATGCTGGCGTGCACGACCTGCAGAGACCGGTTCAACTTTGCCCGCAGCAGTTCAACACCAACTGAATATCTCGGCAAAATATTTGCTAAAACCCCGTCACCCTCAATATTATTTATAAACCCAAATTCTAAACTATGTTTATACGTATTATATCATAAATAAACCCCGTGCTAACCCTAGCATATGCTAATACGGTCTTCAACAGGTTCTAACACCCAATAAAGGATTTTATAGACAAACTAATAAAATGAGGGTTAATCGCTAAATAATAATAGTAAACACTATTAAGAATATCGGTGAGTTACCTGATTAATCTAGGGAGCTTCACTACCCACTTTGGCTACACGCAAAATCACGTTTTCAACTTGGCAAAATCACTAATCAAGGCACACGTCCTAACACTGGAAATTGCAGGCTTAGAATGTCTTGCGCATCCCTAGCCCACTAGGGATCTCCTCTCTTTCCCCCTCCCTAATCCTCTAGGGATGGGGAATCAGCTGATTCAATTCCCAGCTGATTGACGACGTCACGAGTTCAAACTTGGCGCTGTCACGATTCACAACACAACGCCATGACAGCCGACTAGTGGTACAGGTAATGTTGTTATTTACCTGCGACGACTGTGAAATTATACGGCGGAACTTTAATATCGTCGCTGATTTAAACAAAACGTGTAATTTCCACCCGTGATGTGTAACTCAGTGTTCGACAAAGTGTATGCATGTTATGTACGTGATATTGTATTCGTGATCGTGGTTCACCACCCTAGCCTAAACAACTCCCATAAGAAATACATGGGGAGCAAATTTCGTTTACATATAAGCCGAGTGGGATTATAGAAAAATATATGCCAATGCTTGGTGGCTAATCTGTGGGTGCATACCTTCAATTTGAGACCTCAATCATGAAAATTGGTCGGGTAGAGGAGCCAAATGAACTCGGCAAAGAGAAACCAAATTTAACTCCCATGAGAAATACATGGGGAGCAAATTTGGTTTAAACCGAGTGATACTAAGATAATTATATGCCGATGATGCTTAATGGCAAATCTGTGTGTGCATACCTTCAATTTGAGACCTCAATCATGAAAATCAGTCGGGTAGAAGAGCCAAACGTAGTCGGAAAAGAAAAACCAAGTTTTAGCGAATTTCCCATTTTTTAATATATAAGATACTCATAATGTTAAACATGGGGAACTGCAGAAACACTGGGGCGGAGCCCGAAAGGATCATTGAGATAAAAATATGCCTATATGTTATTCGGGAATGTGAGCTATCATCATGCCAAATTTCAGCCCAACCCTCTAGTACTTTATGTGTGATTGAACTTCAAACAAACAAACACACAAACTTTCACATTTATAATATTATAGTAAGATTTTGATTAAATTTGGCAATATTGTTTATTTCATAGTAAGGTATCAACATTTCAATAAAAAACACACACCCCAATACCTTCTCTATAGCAGCAATCCTAGGTACTAATTAAAATTAATGTTATCTAAATAGGAAATAAATCTGACAATTTTCAGGGAATATTTTAGTAGAAATCCAGCCAGGTAAATGGAAAAACTTATTCTGCAGGTTTGCTGCGGCGGGGTAATTTTTTATTTGCCTTCAGCTTTTGATTCAACACTGATAATAAGTAATAATAATTTATATTTGTATTTTAAAACTATTAAAAAATTGCTTGATTTAATTCAATTTTGATTTAATTCAATTACACAGTTACACATTATATTTTTCCTGCAGTCACTATAAACCATATAAATAATTAGTCTTTCAAACACTATACAATACAGTAATAAAAACAGAATAAACAAGTACATTGTTGTGCAAAATATACTAACAAAACATTTTTTGACAATTTTGTAACTTTCTTACTTGCACATCAAGATTGTATGCTCATTCAAACTTCTTTCTTGATTTTTCAGGTAACAGATTTAATGAAACATGTTTTGCAGTTTCTCCTATTTCTTCTGGTCTACACATATATTCCAATCACTTTCACTGATTTCATTATTTTTAAACATGTTAGGCCCACTTATAATTAATCTTTCAAATACTACAGTTTGGGTTATGTTCAAACAAGCGTTGAAGGAAAATGGGATCTAAACAAAAACATGAAATGACAGGTTAAATCGTAGTATAAATAGTCAATCAGCTGATCATAGTAATGATATCTTTAAGTGTTGCCAACCTATTTCCAAGCGTACACGAATTATGTGTATAATAAAACCACGCTGTTTTGTGTTGTTTTGTTGGAATCCTGGTGTGCGCCAAAGTATAAACCGTGCAACAAAGTAAGTAAATGCAGCAATTAGCAGCTTTCTGTACTATAATCAGTGAAAGGAAGCCAACTTTGTCGTGTAACTGTAGAAAAAAAAAACTATTATTACATGTTTGAAGTTTAAGACACAATTTCTTACTTAAAACAAAATTATTATACATTACTATAAATTAACATACATTAAATACCATACATATTCCTGTTAAAACAGGGCTCATAATAAATTATTAGTCCTAAAGCATAACGTATCCAACAAAAACCAATTTAAAACATTCATGAACTGTACCTACTCATTATTATGTGTAGATAATAATATTGTATTGGGTTTTTTTCCAATATTTATTTTAATAAGTTAATCAAAATATTTTGAAATTTCAGTTTTTTTTTTTTACAAAAGTGGTGAAGATTTTTATCTGAGTTCTATGATTTTGTGAAAGAACATAAAAATCTGTCAATATCTGATAACATTCATTACAATAAACATTAACTAATTTAAGTGAAATGTTGAAGGGAACAGCCACAGACTTGGTGGTGCAGATTGTTCTGATAGCAGAGTCGATGCGACTGCAGGCAATGATGGCCACCTACGGCATCCAGACGCAGACACCCCACGAGGTGGAGCCTGTACAGATTTGGTCGTCCAATCAGCTGGTGCAGGTGTACCAACACCTGGGAGTCAACGCCAAGTTGGGCCTCAGCGGACGTCCCATGCGGCCTGTCGGGGCTCTAGGCACAAGCAAGGTGCTTCAACATCTCCCAATATGACCTTGATTTTTTTGTACTCGGAATCAATGATGTAAAGAACTACTGGATTTCGCTGTTTTTGGTCTAGCTTCCCCCACTCTAATAGGCAGAAGCCGACGCAGCCCATACACTCACCATTATCAAACGCAAATTTTTAGTTGTTGATCTGTTGAAATATATTTGGATAAAATATTGCTAATGCAATGTCAAAACTCTTTTTACTAGGGGTGTGGTGATTTTGAACCTCGATTCTGAATCAGCCACTTGACGGGTTTTCATGGTTTTTGTGTTAAAAGAAAGATAAATTTGAGGGATTCAGTTTTTAGAAATTCAGTTTAAATTTTTTTTATCTAGCAGCCGAAGCAAACATTCTAGATTAGCTTTTGGTATAAAACAATTTGCTTAATGTAACAGCTGTAAACATTCAGAGTTTGTGACACAAATTCAGCATTTGGATAGAAATGAAAATACATACGTAGTGTTGACTTCTTTATACTATGTGCAATGTTATAATAATTGATACATTCATTTTATTTGATAAGGGGATGACAGGTTAATTAAATATACATTTTAAAATACTTGATAATCTAATTTATTTTTAGAACAGTCTTTAAACTATTGTTTGTTTTAGTGCAATATAATTTGATTGAACCAAGGCCACACTAAAAAAACAGGCCGTAATTCTCGTCAAGCATGACGTCACGATAGAAGACGGCTATGACGTATAAGTATTTATTTATTTATTTTCCAATGAAAGATTAAAAAACAAGCAGCTGATCACAAACGGCAAAATTACGTCATTGCCGTCTTCTATCGTGACGCCATGCTTGACGAGCATTACGGCCTGTTTTTTTAATGTGGCCTTGATTGAACTAACAGCTGGATGGATATAAAAATATTCTATAGAACTATGAGGTTATTTTATTTAGTCAATGATTATAGGAAATAAGAAATAAGTAAAATTAGTAGAGATAAGTAGACCACAGAGATAGGTAAGACCATTGCCGTATACAAATCGAGAGGCTCTGCCCAGGAGTTTTCAAAGAAAATCCTATGCAAATTGTTTTACTGGTTTTATTCAGAGATAAACAGATGGATGACATGGATGAAACACGATTTTATCATTGACTTAGGATACTGCAAGTAGGCTTACATTTACACCTTTATTTTTCAACTAAATATCTTATAGTTTGAATTAATGAATATGTGAAATTAGGATGTAGGCTACATAAATTCAATAATAGTGGGTAATTGTCACAGATATTAGAACGGATAATGGTATGGATAATAAACATAGAACAATTACGTCACTAAATTACTAGAGTGTTTACATTTTCAAATTCCTTCCACAGAAGACAAGTTCTTTTTTCAAATGAATGTAATTTTATCTAAACATCTGTTTCAAAACAAACTATCTGTTATTGTTTTTACTTTTCTTTGTTTACTAATTTTTTTAGCAGTTAATGCAGTGAAATTGATACAAAGGATAGGCATGGACGATGCATTTAATAATGTCAGGACTATGTTGGCATACCAAATTTTTGGTTGGTAATTCAAATAAAGTCAACCAGTGTAGTAGGTTTCTAGAAAATTTTCCAATAAGCTGCAGGGTGTTAGTAGATACCAAACTGGAATCATATCATCCCAGTAAGTAGTGTATGGGTCAGATTCCTGGGCACTAACCAAAGAACCGAAAAACCTCATTGCTGGGTTTGAGAAATAGAGTGCAGAGGAAATATAAGGACCATAATGAAGCCAGTATTTTTCACTAATACTTACTAAGATGGCGGCTGCTGGCTGTGATGAGCTCTAATAGCGGGCGCAACTAATTAAATGATAGTTTATATCAATGATATCCGTGACAATACGCCTTTGTATTATAAATATTTCTATTACTAACACAATGACCTTCAAAATACGCTTTTAATTTGTTTTTTAGTGTTTACCGTTTCTTAGAAAAAGTTAGTGTACATAATTAACAACAAAAACTTTTTGGCCGAAAGAAAAATTCTGAAAAGCTACAATTTAATTTATAATATATGTATCTATATCGTATTCAAATGTAATAAAGTTCTGGCGTTTGGTTTACAATGTATGAATTTTCATAAGTCACAAGATAGTTTCTGAAACTCACCTTATACAACTCTCCTTTATATTCTGACTGTCATATTAATTTTTGTGAAAGAGCTAAAAAATATTAAATTTTAGATTAATACAACAAATAAAACGAAGAACATTTATATGTACTCCCTGTTTTTCTCATTAGTTTATTAAATTTTCCGTATAGCTCCAAACTTGAGTATCTAAACTGTATTACAAGTGAGGTTGTAGGCAGAATCTGCCCGCATGACGCAACGCGGCGCGGCGGGTAGCCCCTATATTACAATTTAAATTACAACCAAACTACACCAGCTAAAAATTAAAAAAAATATGATCCAAAAGGTTCAACTCTTTAGCTACAAAATCCACCGTTTTTTAATTTACCTGTCCAAAAAATAAAAAAAGTAGCAGCCGACGAACTTTTTCATGTCATATTTTAAAACTCATTTAAAAGGACCGACTTTATTTGAAGATTTAAAATATAAAATATTAACTTTTAAGCTTTTAATTAAAACAAATAGTGTCATAGACTTATTGACTTCACTCATACGAAGTTTCAACCATATAACTTAAGTCTAAGTAGGCTAAATGTCGAGTTATTTTGAAGCGGAACATTGAGTTTTGATGCCGTTTTCATTGACATCTAGCGCTTCTACGCTAAAGTAAGATGGCGGACCTGGCTTCACCTGCTTTAATGTTAGTTAGATAGGTGTGCTCCATCTATTGGTCTTATGTGATCGTTGGTTAACCCCTATGCGCAATCTTACAAAAAAAGCATCAGATGTGTCAGGAGCAAAACCATGACCTGGAAATTCGATTTGTCAAAAATATTTCAATGGATTTATGACGATTCAATAAACCTAGCGCTACTGAAATCACTGCAGTATTTAATTCTACTTATGGGGAACCACCACAAAACTACCATGTAATTGTTCATTACAGGCAAGGTGGACCCAAACTTTTAAATCCGTTTGTAGCAAAAACATATTTCAAGTATTTGTCTTTTTATATATAGTTATTTTTTTAGTCTAAATTAGGGGCTATGGTCCCTACAGGCCACTAGTATGTTTTATTTACTTGTACAGAGTTCCAAAACCTTTTGAATCAATTTACTGTATAGGTTTGTAACAGGATTTCTGTTATCCGTCTATTCACTTAAACACCATGCTCTTGGCCCTGAGAGTGACGGTTAATAGAGGTAGAGGTTCTACTGTAATCCTGCTGCTCACTCATGGATGCTAGCCCTTCTTGAAGTTCCATTGTGTTGTCAGGTGTATCGAGTGTGTGGGATGACAGTGTTGTGCTACCCTCTGATATTTGAGGTGTCAGAGTTCTACCTCTACCGTGACATGGCCTTGCTCATTGATGACATCAAGACGGAACTTGCATTTGTTAGCCGCTACTGGAGGTTATCAGGGAGACCCACTGTTTGCCTTTTGATCCGCGAGGAACACATGAGGTTAGATTGCTATTATTATCTCTCTAAAATAGCTTTGGTATACAAATCAGCTTCTGAGATTACTTCATGTATGTTGTAGCCCACAAAATTAGTTAGAAGTTTTAGTTGATCATCCTCTGCAGCACATAGTTCTTCCATGAAATTCTCGAAAGTGGTTTTCCAATGTTTGCACTGACGATCAGAATGAGGGTCCTTAGGGTCCAAAGATAGACACTTATGCTTAAAATATTTATCCATTTAGATCTTTTTAATACGCTTGAATTACAGAAGAACTTTGAATACTAAAAATTAAAGTTTAAGTTGAATAAAGTGTTAGAACAAGAAATGTTTGCAAACCAAATTTATATGGTTTTATCTATATACTTATTTAAAACGCAAGTAGGATTTTTGTGACAATTACTCCTCCGAAACTACTGAGCCGATTGACATGTTTTTGGTGTCATTGGAAAGAGCGTAACGTGAAGTTGTGCAGGAAACTTTCTTTTTAGGGAAATAATTAGAGAGTGAGGCCCTGGGGCCCTTTAAATGAATAGTTGGTCTCCATGGAAGCATGAGAAAATTCACAATGTTTACATTTGCTTTGACATTTAAATGTAAACAACCAGAACTGTCAAATGCCTATTTCACAATTTTTAGACAGCTGATCCAAAAAAAAAAAAAATAATAAAACAACTAACTATGTGGGAGGTTTATTTAATCTAAAACTTTATGATAGATTATTTACTATAAATCTATTTCAATTATTATGAAACAGATTTTTCCAGTTGCGAAGCAAACATTAATAGTCAGAAGAACATATGTTAATTGTAAACAGTCAATGTGTAAATGATCTATGTTGTATTAAAAATGTGTATAGTTTTGGATGTTGGTTTGTGTTTAACCCTCCGAGTGTTATTTGTCGCTGCAGCGACACATAACACACTTTGTGTAGTGTTTTGTGTCGCTGCAGCGACTCACAAACACTGTTTACGGCGAAGGCTCTATGACTGACAAAATCGGATTGAACTGGATCGAGTTAGGTATCGTTTTATTTGACAGATTCAGAGGTTTCTCCGGAGGTCTGTCTCTAAGCGCTATTCATTTTAGTTCCGAAAATATTGTAGTAGACAGCTGACGTGCGTATTTGTAAACAGCTTAGTTAACCTCGGACCGATGACTGATGTGTTTTATTACGTTTATCATTGTTTTAGTGTTAAAAATCAAAAGTAGTGATATACGTGGTGCATTATAAGAAGATTTAAGTGATTTTGAAGGGCTGGTTGATGATCCTGAAGAAGTAGGTAGTGATATTGATGTAAATTATCAGCCAGATTCCTAGCTATGGTTAGGCTATGCATTCTTAGCTAAACGCTATGTACTGAAATCTGTTTTTTGCATATAACTTATTTATTTGCAAATCTACTTCCTTATATTATTATATATTTGTAATCCTCATAAAATTTAGAACAAAGTGGCTAAAAAAATTTTTTGAAACAAATATTCCTTATTTTCTATGTATAATATTGAAGCCCATGATTTTCCAAACAAAATGGTATATAGAACAGTATAATTAACATTGTTTTCAAGCTTCTCAGATCCGTTTTAATAAAACCTTGCAAATGAGCAAAAAATAGGCAGACATTAATGCCAAAACAAGGGACACTCGGAGGGCTAATGATATAAGTTATTAGTTATTGCATTTTGATTTTAAGGATTTGGCATACGAGCAAGCCTATGATAAATAACACCATTTCAGAGTTCTGCCAGTTTTTGCCTAACTCTGTCCTGTAGAGTCTAAAGTAGCCTACACCTTATTGTCTAAAAATTGGCTAAATAGCTTAGGTACGGTACTTTATATAAGCTGGCAGCCTTTTTATGTTGACTTAAATTGTATGCTTACCTTTTCCCATCCATGGGCAGTTTGATTGTTAAAAATTAACCCTTTAAATTGGAATAGGACTGTTATGTAAATTGTGAGTATTTCCATTAGTTAATAATCTTTTAGTTGACTCTTTTAAAATCATAGGAAATTATGACTGTTATTAGTTTTTAAACAAGTTATTTGTTTATAAATAACTCCTGTACTTCTTTGCACTTGCCCGATTTCGAGCAACATCTACACTATAGTTCAATTTAAAATGTGCTACATTTTTCAGATAAGATAATTGACAGAAAACTAAACATTTCATACATAAACAAAATACAACCTTAGATAGAACATCTGACAATGAAATATTAGACATTCAATAGAATCACATAATATAACAGTTAAATAACAGGTGCTTTTAGAATACTTTTAGTAATGCGGCATTTTCAATAATCCGAACTTGCGAGAGACTACTCATGCTACACATTCTAGTACAATTCTGAGTACCATAGGGTGATTAAAAAAGAATGACCCAATTTCAGTTATATTTATTTCAAAAAACTGTACACACAAACCAATTTTACATCAAATTACTCGCAACAGCATCAAGTTTATGTTGATGTATTACAAGTGTTCTATGTGCCCTCCTTATCAAAATCGGATCATTTTTGCTTGAGTTGTCGTGCTAACGGACATGTATATATATATATATGCATTTGAATGGAGGGTGTTTTTGGCCTCTAGGGACCTCAAAACAAAAAAGTAAATTGGTCCCGGGTCCAGGTCTTACCATGAGTACTACGGTAAAAAAGATCACGGCCCTCTACCCTGAAGATATTATGTCTTATTTTCTGTACTTCCGAATCCAGAAGTCAATGGTTGTACACTAAAAGGTTGCTACTTTGAAATCTCCACAAATTCAAAGCTAGTTGTGTTAACCTCTTTGTTTATTATACCCTAATATAAACTTTTAAAACAAGTATATTTTTTTTTAATCCTCAACTCATCCAACTGAGAAACTTTTTCCAGATAGAACCAAGTTGTTTTTAGAAAATTCTTTTCTCTAGGGATCCCCAGTTTAAAGAGATGCTTGACCTCATGGCTATGCTGAAGAAAGGCTACTGTGATGGAATCAAAGTGCGCATTGGCCGTCTTCAGAATCTTATTTCTTCTTCATGTATTGGTAATCATTTTATGAGTAATAAGGCTTGCAATGTTTCTGTATGCCAAACTAACCTAAGTTCTAAGTGGAGACCCACAAGATTACTGCTGACAATATGCTACTTGGACAAGATCCTTATCATAATATTAAACTAAAGGAACAGAGATTAGACAATTCTTTACTGAATTTCATTTTTCATGCAACCACTTTTTTTCTTTGTTCAAGATTCAAATTATCACATCATATTTATTAAAACATGACAGGGTTTTTTTTATTTCACGATTCTGAATCAACCACTAGACGGATTTTCATAATTTTTGTGTTGAAAGAAAGATAATTTTGAGAACTAGGGAATGTCGAAGCCATAATTTTAGTTTAGGGTTTCAGTTTTTTAGAAAATAAGTTTAACCCTAGCAGTGGCCAATGTTAGAAGTGGGGAATGGCCAACCCATTATGGCGATTTTGTAGACCTTTTTTTGAAAATTCGTAACAATTCAACCGTACAAGTAAACCTAGCCAACCTCATATTCATTTTGTTTGGAAAGAACAGGAGAATCTAGAAATAGTAATATAATAATGATTAAAACAGTGTATTTTTTCGGTAAAGTGAAAAAAATTAAAAAATTTTTTTTTCAAAAGCGGCTTCGGTATTTTTTTACAGACTTTTTATGGGAAATTCATTATATACTTTTTGTAGACAATCTAATTCCCTACATAGAAATATATAACATGTTAGGAAATTTTTTTTTTATAAGTTTTTGGGGCGAAATATAATAACAAACGGAGAACCTGGAAAAATTGAAAACCGTACAGTGTTAGTTTGTGTTGTAAAAAGTTGTATTATATATGTGTATACTAATTATGATATATACATGTTTGCAAAGCTAATGAAGTAAGGAATAAAAAAAAGTCATAAAGTTTATGGTAAAAATATTTTTTTATTTAAAATAATGTTTTTGTATTTTAGCGATTTTATGACAAAAAATTCATAGTATTTAGCATACAACTTTTGTACCAAATGTTTTTACTTCAAACCAACATAAACATCTTGTAGTGTATTCAATTACCTACATAAAAATGTATAACACGTTGGGTAACAATTTTTGTTTTTACGTGCTAGGGGCATAATAATATTGTTGGATAGATAATGATAGAATAATGGGAACAGCCCAAAAAATGAAAGTGAAAGTATAATAAATACCTTTTTGCGAGATTAAATTTGCTTACTGAACTTGTAGTGTAGTGGGGTACCCCATGTGTCCTCTTCAATGGCTAACATGGAACTAGCTTCAGAGATAACGTTGGGGCTGACCTTTGATACTAAGGCAACCCTTACAAAAACTTTGTTATACAGGTTGGGTGACTAAGGGATTGGGAAATTGTTAAACTTGATTGTCAATACCGCCCACAAAAAAAAAATTTAAAATACCTTTTTTTTGTAACACAAAATTGAAAAAACAAAAGCAAACACCTTGTTCAAAAAACAAAAATCTTCTATGAAGTATGTAAATATACTTCTTCTTACTCCATGGGGAGAGGACAGAGCTTTGAGACTGACCTCTTGAAAACTCCATTTGAAGTTTTGACGCTCACAACACGGACAATACCGTCTTCGCCAGGATGAGTTTCAATAATTCTGGCAGTTAACCATGATGCAGGTGGCAAGTTTGAATCCTTTATAAAACTAGTTCGCCAATCTTCAAGTTAGGATTTTGGACGAACCATTTTTGTCGTTGTTGTAAGTATTCTAGATTCCAACGATTCCAGAAGTGCTGTAGAGTTTGTTGAATTAGTTGCCACCGTGACAGTCGATTCATAGGTGTTGAAGTGAAGTCTGCTTGTGGTAAAGCAACCAAGGGTTGGCCAATTAGAAAGTGACCAGGAGTCAGCGGTTCGAGCTCATTAGGGTCAGACGATAGACTGCAGAGGGGTCGTGAGTTGAGAATAGCCTCAATCTGAGTCAAAAGTGTGGAAAATTCTTCAAAGTTTAAAATTTGACTGCCTAGAACTCGTTTTATGTGGTGTTTTGTTGATTTAATGCCAGATTCCCATAATCCGCCAAAATGAGGTGAGGATGGGGGTATAAAATGCCATGTGATTCCTTGATTTGGAAAGAATTTTGGGAAGAATTTAATCAAATTGTTGAGAGAAGAATTGATACAGCTCCGTAAGTTCTCGATTCGCTCCAACAAAAATTGTTCCTTGGTCAGAGAAATGTCACTACATAAACCTCTTCAAGAAATGAATCGCTTGAAAGCGACAAGAAATGCTTCAGTAGAAAGGGATGACACCATTTCCAAGTGCACAGCCTTGGTTGCCATACAGACAAACAGAACTTTAAAGAAGTTGTGGCTTCCTCAACTTATCAGACTTGGTAGAATAAGGACCGCCAAAATCAACACCGACTTTAAGAAAAGGTCGAGTGGAAACTATTCTCTCTTCAGGTAAGTTACCCATAAAAGGTTGTGGAGTTTTACCTTTATCTTGCACAAGTAACACATTTGGCTAATCTATGTCGAATGACAGTGCGGGCAGATATTATCCAAAATTGTCTGCAAAGCAGTTGTTAATGACTAGTTTCATATATATGTATGACCATTGATTAATCTTTATATTTGTGCTATAACTTATTTGTGAAGATTAAATGTCACATGTTTTTAATAATGTAAAATGAGTAAATAAATAGTGATTGAAATGTTGTAATGAAATTGACTATTCTTTTATTTGACTTTGATAATCGACAATTTAATATTGGTGCCGAAACTAAAAAAGAACCATGTCTTACAGAAAAAGTAATAGGGAAGTTAAACCTCCAAAAAGGTATACCCCTGATCAGAATGAAAATCATGATACAGACAAATTATCAAAGAATGTTTCTGAGAATGGAAACAATGACATTCAAAGAGTAGCATTGAGACAACCCAGCTATTACTTCTAGTAGTTCAAGGAAAACAAAAAGTAAATCAGCAACATCAAGCAGCAGGAGACAAATGGAAATAGAACTTGAGAAGTTGGAGGAAATACAAAAACTGGAACGAGAAAATGAAGAAAAGGAGCTGGAAAGACAAAGACTGATGGAGGAGAAGGATATGGAGCTACAAAGACTGGAGATGGAGAAGGAAATGGAGCGACAACGGCTTAGAGACGAGAGGGAGCTAGAGCGACGTAAACAAATGCTGGAAATAAGGGCTTCTATGAAATCACTATCGGCAAATGGTAGTCAAGTCTGCAGATCTGAGGTAAGCATAAGTCAAAGCTTAATATCTCAGAGAGAGGAGAGAGAATCTGAGAGTAAAGTCGTAAAGTGGCTGAATGATAATGAACCGACAGTACCTGCGAGTTCTGTGGTGGGAAGCACGATAATACAAATGCTCTATACTTCGGAAAGCTGATATTTCCGAAAGGTGGAAAATGGTAGGTGAGAAAAAGCTATGCTTTTCTTGTTTCAAACGACATCAACTTAAATTTTGTAAATCTAAAAGAGCTTGTAGTATAAACGGTTGTAAGCTGTACGTTCACCGTCTCTTACATAACCCCAATCTTGAACGACCTCCAATAAAAAGAAATGAGGGAGGGTTAAAATCTAGAGATGAAGTAATCGGTAATCATTTTGAGAATAACATATCAAACCGTGTTTTGCTTCGTGTTTGTCCTGTCACGTTGTACGGTCCCAAGTCCCAGGTAGATTCTTATGCCCTTTTAGACGACGGCTCGACTGTATCACTTCTGGATTCATCAATTGCCGATGAACTTGGTATCAAGGGTGAGATTGTTCCTTTGACAACTTGTTGGTCTAACAACACAAGACACTTTGAATCTCAATCAAAGAGAATAGACCTAAAAATAAAAGGATTTTACGAGGATGAAATCTTAACATTGAAAGGGATTAGAACTCAGTCCACTTTAGAGTTACCAGACCAACAAATAGACAGTGTCAAAGTGAGGAAGAACTGGCCACACCTACACTCGATCAACCAACCTCTTCCATTAGCGAGTGTCAGGCCCACTCTCTTGATAGGCCAAGACAACTGTAACCTAATTCTAACCCGTAAGATTATTGAAGGTCCTACTAACGCCCCAGTACTGTCATGGTGCCTTCTTGGCTGGACTCTACATGGGAAGTGTGCACAATCAGGGCCGCGTTAAGGGTCAGTGGCGCCCTGGGCAAACCCAAAAGCAGCGCCCCCTTATATATATATATATAACTATAAAGGTTTTGACCACAGCAGTGTAGGGAGGGGAAGAGGGAAGGGGGTTGACTCATCAGTTCGCCGAAATTCACAGCAGGTGAGTTGGGGGTTGGGATGAGTGCAATGAACTTGACAGTAGTTGCTATGCGAATGCACCTTTCCCTGCGCCAATAGTTTAATGCACTACGCAGTTATTTGATTATTTTTCGGTATGCAGTTCAGTGTGCAGTTTATTGCATTACACACGTATTGAACGAGATTCTACTAATGGAGATTCTACTGTTTTTCTGTGTTTCTTCTATAGGCCTATGCATATATATCATGCACATTAGCATGTTTTTTTACCAGTTTTGTTTCGGGAGGGAGTTTTCAATTCCGTATCAGTGGAAATACTGGTTAATACATTTCACTTTATCTTTAAAACTGCTTCTTGAGTTTGTTTTATTTCAGCCAACCACTTGCGGCTCTTGGCTCCACTAGGTTTTTTATGCATTTTTCACTGTTTATAGGCCTACTTACTTGTATCAACACTTCTATTTATTTATTACTGGTTTTCTAACTGCAGTGTGAGTGTCAACACTGACTAGTGACTGTCATAGTTTAGGTTGTGTTGTGACTGATTTGACGACTGTGCAGCAGGCACAACACGAACACAACCTACTGACTACTGAGGGAGGAGTACTGTATTACTGTACTGGACTGGCGCCGCGCGGGCTCCCAGTCCCACCCCTATCCCCACAAGTCACAACTACCAACTACCGCGCCGCGCGGTAGTTGGTAGTTGTGACTTGTGGGGATAGGGGTGGGACTGGGAGAGAGAGGAGGGGCACA